ATTTTTATTGAAGTGACATTTATTTTTGGTAATTGATTTTCTTTTACTAAACTTTTTTTGGTAATTTTGGGTTTCACGAATTTCAAACGATTATAGTCTATATACTCTATATGCACATGTGCTTGCGTATAAGCAGTGCATTCGAAGTGCTGCGCAAGTGCTCACAAATTTTCGCTTACCAAACATCGGTTGTATATATAAAAAAAATCACAAATGACGATTAAAAAAGGAAATCCAATTTTTTCTAAAATGCACGAATAAAATTATACAGATCTATAGTTGCAAACAATAACGATTAAAAAGGTAATCCATTATTATTATTAAAATGCATGATTAAAAAGGATTCATTATTATTAAAATGCATGAATAAAATAATAAAAACATTACATATTTAGTTAGTGCTTAAAAGCATTAGTTAACATTTGGTGTTATGTTAAATTACTGGGTGCAGGTAAGAATTATTTTTTTTATATAATATAATATAAGGTCCCGATTTCAGTTCTCACGATGTTTTTAGGGGCCCTGAACATTTTTACTTAGAGTATCGATCCCATTTACTTAGTACGTTTTTTGAGATATAGCACCTCCGGTGATTTCCCTCGTGTTAAAATTAGCAATTACCTATTATTTTTAAAACTTTTCACGCTCCTCGATTAATTGGGAAACCTCGATTTTTTTGAATAGAACTCTTTTATTTATTACTGTATTAGCGATTGTTAGTGTTGGTGTTATGCTGAATTATCTTTCTGAAAAATTTTGGTTGAATTGGTATTGTCACGGGTTAATTAGTATTTTGCGTCAACAAAATAACCTAACTCAGGTAGGGAAGCACTCAACAGTTATTAATGTATTTTATTTAATTCACTTAAGGAAAGTAACAAGTTTGTTTTATTATTCATAATCTTTTATTATTCAATTGACTAACTTTTTTTTTATTATTACTTTTGCTTCAACTCTTATATACATAATTTGATTCTGATCATTACATCATATATCAGTCAAATGACCTTTGTCTCTTAAATTGATTACATACTTTATTCGATTATTCATGCGCAGCTTAATAATAAACTATTTCGTACCACTTATCAATGTGTGATTGATTCATCCATGACATATTAATTATCTTACTTCGGTATCTTAAATATCTACTGACCGTTCATAATACCAATCGATCATCACATGAGTCACATGTACAAGACACTAATTGATTGATCGTTTTTACCCTTATCTTTACACATGTTCACTGCATACTGTTTATCGCCATGACACAAGCTAGATCCCCTGAAACTTCATCCCAAAAGTTTTCAGCTTATGTGAAGCATATTCCTCAACATCGTTAACACAAAAGAATCCATTATATTTATTATTTCATGTGCGTGCTTTAATACTTTTCCATGATCATATACACTTCTTATCGGTACATTGTTCCACACATTACTTACATGTCCTATTACTGACTGTTTCTTGGTGTCATCCAACTCTACATCGCTATTTTGATGATTATACTTAAGATTAGGCTGCTCAATCGATTCACTTTCAACACTCATTACATCAAAATCAACCATTATTGCTCTACCATCTGAGCTATTTCCCCTTATCTCATTTATATCAGCAACCTTATGATGATACATGGATGTCTTATTTTCATCCATTTCAATTCCATTCCTGTTTTCGTAGCAAAATCTACCTTTGTGTATTCCATCAGCATGTTCTATTTTTGCTGATTTTTGATAATATACTAATGTCTTATGTTCATCCTTTTTAATATCATTTCTGCTTTTATTGCAGTATTCAGCTTGCTTTATCTTTGTTGACTTTTGAAGATCAGCAAAGTCATCATTTTCATCAAGCTTGACCTTCATTATCATTCTGAATCTAAGATCTGCAACTTCATCAGACTCTTTAGGCATGTTATTCATTTTTGTTTTCTCTTTCTGATCCAACTCATTCTTTTGTTCATTGAATACAATCTTTCTACTTCTTTTACTTCTTTTACCTATATCACCTCTTCCAAGGTTAGTTTCTTTCTTCGAATCATCACTTTCAGCAGATTTTTGATATGCCTTTTGTTTTCCTATTTTACTGCCAACTCCATCAGGATTACCCATATCAGAGAATTCTTGATAATGAATAAAAACTTTATATTCATCACTTTTAATATCTATTTCTGTATTATTACAGTGTTCAAGAACATATTCATTCGAATTATCATCTTTATCCACTCCAATTCCATAAAGATGACAACAATTTTCATCATTAGTTCTGCCAACTTCACCTATATCTTTAGATTTTTGATAATGAATGATCATTTTATGTTTATCCTTTTCAATACCATTTCTATAATGGTAATAATGTCTAATAAACGGTCCATTAACATTACTTATATTAGTAGGATTTTGATAGCAATCAACTACCTTATACCGAACATTATCATCACCAATTCTATGAACAAAAGCCTTTCATTCATTCATTTTATCCAATTCTATGATGATGCCAATAGTTATTATTACATGTTCTATCAAAACCACCTATATTTCCAGATTTTTGATAATAGAAGAATTTCTTATTGTCTCTTTTGATTCGAACAATAGGTTGATCCTTTTCATCACAGCAGGCTTGATTAGATTTGACTCTTTTAACAGTTTTTTGCCAACTGCTGAATGTCCCAAATTCGTCCTTTTCATCACCAGTTCCTCCTCAATTAAAATTGATTGCATAATATAAAATATGTAAAAATAATGCTTATGCGACCTTTATCAATAGTAAATTTTTTAAGAAAAAAGGTGGTTTGTATCTCGCTTAATTTTTTATCAAAATGGTAACTCATTTGGTTAATTTATTTAATTTTCTAACTAATTAAAATTTTACTTCTGATCTATTGAGTGAAGTGCTTGAGAACACCCTTACTTAGTACAGCAATATTATTAAATTTCCATATGTATTGTATGTTTATTTGATATGCTTTGCACGATTAGTTTGTACGAAAGAACATTCTTGTCAACCAATAAACCTTAACAAGAAATATTAAAAACAAACTCCCAG